AAGAAAAAATAATTGATATCTTTAGTAGTCAAAACAAAAATAGGTCCTTCAGAATTAAAATATTTCAGAACATCTCTTGAATTTGCTTTTTCTGTTTTAAGTAATGGAAAGCTACTATTGCTTCATTACATAGAAGTTGCCAAAAATTCACAGTATATTTTAATTCCAACTTTGTTCTAAACCCCATTTTATCAGTTGCTGGAAACGATGAAACTTCCCATATTTAGTCTAAAATGAAAGATGTTACTTTTGGGAGGGGAGGGAATAGCTTCCAGCCAATTCATTTTAATCAGGTTTTAATTATTCTAGCACGATAAGTATTTCTGCCTGTATATATGTAAAAATTTTATAATTTGAAACAACTGGAACTAGCTTGGCTTGTGGCCTGATCTTGCAATTGCTCGTACACCAAATCTGTCTCACTACTTCTTTGGGACTGTTCACGTGTTAGAATTAATGAGATTGAGTTCTTGTTCTGTCATTCTCAGAGAAATCTCCTAAGGTATGAAGCCAAGTTTGTAGCCAACTGGCTTACTGTGTTTAAATATTTAAAATTTAAAATATTTTAAATTATCATATTTAGTTTTAGATGGGTTAGCCTTAAAACTGGCACGGTTTCCCTATTATTATTTATTATTTCAGTTCCAGCAGTACCTGGCAACATTTGAAAAGTTGTTATTGTGCTAGGTACACAAAAAGCAGTCCAAATGATGGACTGCTCCCCAAAGAATTAACATGGCTTATTATTTCACCAGTCATATTATTTCACAGGATCACAGAAGTTTGGAACAGACCTCTGGAGGTCTCTAGTCCAACACCCTTGTTTGTAACCAATCTTTTATTTTATCCAGTAGCATGTCCAGTTTAGGTCAGATTGGTCAGGATTTTGTCCAGTCAAGTTTTGACTTTCTGAGGATGGAGACTGCATGACCTCTGAGCACCTGTTCCACTGCTTCATCACCCTCATGTGATGAGGTGAAAAGACTTGTCCTAATACTGGAATTTCCCATGTTCCAGAGTGTGCCTGTTGTCTCTAGCTCTATCCCTGTACACCTTCAAGAAAAGTCTGTCTCCATCTTCTCTACACCCACCCATTAAAGTGCTGTAGACAGCAATTACATCTCCCCTTAGCCTTGTGTTCTTCAGGCTAAAGAAAGCCCACTTCTCCCAGCCTCTTCTTGTACGTCCTGGTCTCTGACCCCCTGATTGCCTTGACGGCCCCCCACTGCAGTATGCTCTAGTATGTCAGTGTCTCACTTGGGCCAGAGATCCCAAAACTGGACACCATGCTGCAGATTTGGTCTCGCAAATGCCAAGGGGAGGATCCAGAATGTCTCCCTGGAAGCGGCAGTGTAAGCCATCAGCTGCCCCAAATGCACCACAGCTAGGAACACTTGGCAAAGGTTCATATCGTAGTTTCATTCTCACTTTTAGCCAGTGTAAACTAGTGCCGCTGGTGAAAAAAGTTAATTGTTTTGGGTTGGCTTTTGAGGGTGGTGTGGGATTGGGGGTGGTGTTAATTTTAACGCAGATCTGCCTGGCAATCCACTTTGTTTCCCGACCACGCAAATGGCTGTGCTGTCAAAAGAGAATAGGCCATGTGGACAGGAGTGGAGGGGAAAAAGCAGCACCATTTTTTTCCTATAGTGGTGCTGGTTTGTGTCAATTTACTGTGACTAGACTCCACGGTCTAAAGAGACATGGAGAGCTAACTAAGATTAGTGAGGATTATGGCCAAGAACCTTCATATCAGTTAAATTAAAAGCTTCAGTTAAATTTCTCTTCTACTTTTGTAAACAAAATTAAGAAAATTCTGTGTAGATTATTTATATAATATCCATCATAAATTTATTCTGACAGCAGTTTTGTGGAATGTCCTCTTGCTTTAATAGGTCCATTTAATAGAGGAGTTTTATAAAACTAGCTGCAGAAAAATAAAATTCTTAATTTGCTGCTGTTTTGTACAGTACTATGGCAAATGTCCATATTGGGCTTTTAGTATTGTTATTTAATTTTTTCTTTACATAACCATTAGTTATTTCCTTCAATTGTACCACAGTTTGTTTTTTAAATAAGATTCTACTGAAGGGAGGAACTTAAAAACTCACCACAGTATTTAACATCAGTTGACATTTACCGCAATCTCTAATTATTGGCACAGAATCTGTCTGGCTTCTGCTGCTTTTATGGTTCTTCCAGCTTGTTCCACTGTTTTTTAGTTTTACCATCCTGCTGTAGATGAGTTAGATGATAGTGGTTTCAAGCAGTTGAAGATCTACTTTTATACAGATCCTGTCTGTTCAAAATAATTTTGTTTATTGGTATAAGCAGTGTAAAGATGAAAAGAAAGACTTCTGCAAAACCTTTCACATATGAGTCCCAGAACAATTCTTTCACTACCCAAGAAAAAAAATCCTGTTGAATTGGGACACAGCAAGCACAGAGGGGGGTACAACCCTAATGCTAACTATACAGCATGTATGTTTCACTAGGAAGAATATTATATTTAAATAGTTCATTTACCTTGCTCATGAGCTTACAGAAGTGTAGATACCTGGTAAATAAGCACAAATTAGATTTACAGTTTCTCTACAAAAACCAAATCCGTTTTTGTGCTGGAGACTTTGCAGCATAGGTAGAATGTTTGGAATTATTGTCCCTCATAAAGTACATTGGAAATTCAGGTTGCCAGTTTCATTTGAGGATTTGTGTTAATCTATTTTTATTTCTGTAACATGATGTGCTAGGTGTTCTGAATACGGCAATTCATAGTTCCTACTCCAGAGATCTTAAAATTCATGAAGAGACACAGACTCTTTAGATGCTTGAATATTAGAATAGAGTATATTCTATTGATTGTAGAATATACTATATATTATAAATAGTATATATTCTATACTATTATCTATCCCTAGTTACTCCAAAGCCAGTATTGGTGTACTGACTCTTTCCAAAGCTTGCAAGAAGATACATTCAAAAGGTTTTGTGAGATACTTTTTGAAATGTTCTTATTTGAAAGTACTTCTATAACCTTTGGCAAACTGACATAGGTTTAGTTTGCATGAATAGTTTGTACTGCAAGAGAAGTTTGAGCAGCATGGTGACCCGTCAAAGAGAAAATTGGATAGGTTTAGTTGCCACCTCCTAATTTAAAGCTTACTATATTCTTGTCTGGGATCAGTATGGTTAAAAAAAGTAGTTTTAAATTGTACGTACATGTTAACCACACCTTGCCCCTGCAGTGCACAAAATTACCCACCACGGCCTGCCGCACCACGTTCTGCCTTCTAACGATCAGATCAACAATGCTTGAAATCGTGTGTGCATTTCCTTATGTTGGGACTGCAGAACTCCGTCCTGTAAGTTTGAAAATGAAAGCCAGTAGGTACTCAGCTAATGATCCTATAAACTCCAGGGAGTGTGCTGGCAGAATGTGGCCCCGCAGAGCCTAAGGGTGGCTTCTCTCTCCTGGGTCAGGCTGAAACACAGGAAATGACAGTGGCGAGCACCGGGCGCTGACTCACGGCTGGGGGCGGTTTACTTTGGGATGGCTGTAGTAGTTCCTGTCCCCAGCTGTCTGGCCTCCCTCTCTTTACTACGAAGCCTGTGCTTCGTGAAGCAGTTCTTTAATCACTCTAGTTTACAGTCCGTTATATCAAGAAGTATGTGCACTGAATTCGTTTCCGTAATGCAGAGGAAGGTAGTTTGGAATATTTCAGCAGCTGTTTCCCAAGAAGCCAAGCTGCCCATGCAAGCAGAGGTCAGGAAGTGTAGCTGGTTAATAGGTTCCACAGTAAGTTTTCCACTGAAAATAAGCCCCAAGAGTCTGGAAGCTATGCCCAGTTATCTGAAGCTCTGCGGTTATCTGAGCATACTTCAGATTGCAATTTTCAGGATCCAGCAGCAACCTTGTAATGCAAGATAAAGCAGGACTTCCATCTTCTCAGGCAAGCAGGACAAGATTTAGTAAAGACAGCAAAATATAATATGTCTGTTTACTTACGATTGAAGTGCTGCCTGCTGGACTGTTTCAGATAAAACACACTGCATTTTCTCTTCCCTTTCTTCCTGTTTCATTCTTGTTCTCCTCCCTGCCAAAAGAAAAAGAAAAAGTACATGACATTTGACAATGCTGTGCCATCAAGAAAATGTATGAAGTGGCGCAAAGTATGCTTGATTCTGGAGTCTTCGTTGCAGATTTTTGGGAAATTTTTCTCTTAGTTGGGTGGAACTAGAAGAGATTAACTTTAAGAGCCAACTGGGAGAAGTTGACTTGAGGTCACCATCTGTTAAAAGCAGAGTTTATCTGTGTTTGTACAGAGCCAACACAGAAGAGTCTCAGTCTTGACAGAGGCCTATGGACATAGCCTTAACACAAATATATAATAATCTTGTAATGGGCCTTCGCCCAAAGAAGGCTTCAGATAACTTTTCGGTATTCTTATCTAAAAATATATATTAAATGGACTTGTCAAAGTTGAGCAGTTGTGTTTTTTCCTTCAAGAGATTTTCTGTTGTCATTTCCCTCTAGCTGAACATTGAAAATTTAAAAAATAATTTTAAAAGTTTCTCACTTAGTGATAAATATCCCCCAACGACAGTGACTGAGTTGCCATGTAACATGTTTCACATTAGACCACAAAATGCTTTTGCCAAGGCTGTGTCATTGTGTCCACTTCACAGATGAAGAAACTGAGGCACGTGGGAGAAATATGATTTTACTAAGGGTTGCATGCCAGGCAAGTCGTAGAAGCTGGAACAGAAGCCATGCCTCCTGCGTCTGTGCCTAGGCTGCTCTCCATTAGTCCACTGTGCCTGAAGTACACGCGGATTTCAAATGAGGAGCAAGACATATTTGAATATCAGCGTAGGAAGTGGTTTCATGATCATCCTATAATACACATTTTAAAAAGATATTAAATGCTGTTTTCAAATGCTACTGTTGTCCAAAAATGAATGCTGTCAGATTATGATTTTCATTTGCGTGGGTTATTTTCCAGGCAGAAATTTTAACGGGCATCCCAGTTGGCAACCTTGAAGATGCTGAAAAGGTGGGACACATGCTGTTAGAAAGAGGGTGTAAGCTCGTAATAGTTACTCTTGGAGCAGAAGGCTGCATGATGATATCAGTAGAAGAACCCATTCCAAAGCACGTTCCTGCTGGGAAGGTCAGGGCTGTGGACACTACGGTACGTTTTTGTGGTTTAACTGTCTTACTTTGGAAAAGACTGCTTAAGCACTAAGGGAAAGCAATGAGTAATCAGCCAAATCTTTGGGCACTAGCACAAAGGCTAATTTATGATGTGAAATTGATATCTTGCTTCCAGCCTCTCATATATTAAATGTCAGTTCACTTGTGTTTTATAGTCTGTATTGTAGATGTGCTAGAATTATTATACATACTGATCGTATCGTCATGTTTCTCTTTTACTGAAGTCAGTACCTGTCTCTGACTGTAATGTGTGATGCCAGTGGCTTGAGCTCCAGTCCTGTTTTTTCACCTTTGCTCAGTCATATAATTCATCTTGCCTAGAACTCAAATGCTGTGGGAGAAGGGAGGTACTACTGCCCTCACATTCTGAAACTGAATGTTTGCCTCTTCTGACACAGGCATGAATTGCTTACCGGGTCTAGCATAAGGTGCATCAAAGACATCATTTTTACAGGATATAGTGGAAAAAAACCTGAAAGTTCTTGCTGCTTCGTTATGACTATTTATGATGAGAGGTAAGAGATACTTAGTCAGGGGCACTTTAGTCTTTGACATGAGGGTATTTTTTTACTTTCTGTTCAGAATTAAATACAGAAAACATACTCTAACAGACCACTTAATACAATACCCCCAGCAAAAAATAAAAATAGGACAGGCAATAGTTAAGATAACATTGCTATGAAAACCTTACCACATTGCACATATGGGGCTATTTTGTGTTCCTAGTATTATCTGACATAAATCCAAAATAATTCCAGTGGAGTTACTGAGAGCAGAGCAGGTCACGTTGTATGTACTAACTATACATTTAAATGCCTGTTATAATAACGTCATATTACATATGTTCTGTTACAATAGTTCATTAAAATCCTGGAGATTTTACCATCTGGTGCATTCCATATCTGAATTGCATTAATAATAACTAGTTCTTGTAGCATGTTTTTTTATCCATGGACCTCATACTGCTTCACAAAGAAGGAAAGCAACTGCAACTGTTTAAGAGATGAGGAAACAGAGGCATAGGGGACTGGAATTACCTAGATCAGTAGCATGCAGTGGCAGAGTCAGGAGTAAAGTCACTTCATCTGAAACAGATCACTTGTAGATCTGGACTGTGATGTGCTGATACCGTGGAAGGCTTTGTTTCACTGTTAAATTTCATTATTTTCAATCGGAACTCTGAAACAGAGATACTTTGGCTTTATTTTCCTGTATTGCCCCTTTGTCATTTAGAAGTTTGACCTGGAGTTAGTGCTGATTTTGGAATGTCCTAAAGTTGGTTAAAGGAGGCATCACTGTACTATACTGCATATAAGGTAATTGGTGGGGGACTACAGACACCAAACTGCCTCTGCCTGCTTTTAGCCCAGAATTAGAAGTGCCAAGGGAGTGAAAGGCAGAGCTCCCAAAGCTGCTCAGAAGTAGGATTTATTGGCTTGGGGGCAACACCTTGTGAACCTGGTGGTACAGCTTCTTGCTTTGTGTTGGTAAATCCTCTATTGCTATCAAAACTTATTGTTAAAGTTTTTGTCTACATCACACAAAAGTGACGAAGAAGAAACATGTGTGATCTGCTTCTTCAAAAGAAGCAGAAAATTGCTGCCAGATCAGCTATTGTTTAATATCTTAAGATATTTGCTGCTCTTGGAATAAAACAGCAATACTGAAACCACACACTGTGGCTGAAAAGTGCTTTTTATCTTGCCTAGCAGTTCAGAGTTTCATGACTGAACTAATTTAATGCTCCTCTTTTTTTTTCTTGTGGGTTTTTGTCTTTTTTCTTTTTTTAAATGCAATTTCTTTGAGTTTACTGAATCCTTGTCCTGCCTCCTTGTGGCCAACAGGTTATTGGCTTTCACATAGCAGAGGATTTTCACAGTTAATTTTGTTAATCTACTTAAATACCAGTGGGTTGTTTTCAGTAAAACAGCTGTGCTCGTTTTACTCTTGCAGACTGAATGAAAAAAGATGTGTTGGCCTTCCATTATAAAAGTCTTACAGTGTTTAGACTGATTAGCACTTTGCCTGAAAGCAAGTGGTTTTAAAGCAACCCTTCGAAACACTAAGCAAAATAATGTCATCCTCAACTAACCTGGATAGCTGTATTACTAAAATAATCACTAAATGTTCTAGTAGGACATGTTATTCCCTTCAGACGCGTGTCTGCAGTGGATTCTTCCCTAGGGGAATAAGCTCAAGCTGTAAGGTGGTTTAGCAGGTAGCCACCTATCCCCAGAGTATTCAAAGCTGTTCATGTGCATGCTTTTAGCATGCCAGTTAATACTAAACAAAAGTTGCTACCTTAAACTGCCCTGACATCAGCATCTTGAGGAACCAGGCAGCACTTTTTAAAGATGCCATAATCCAGTCACATTGGGTTATGTGCCTGTATCCATACTGACATTGTCTGGATCTGCAGAAAGTAAAGTTACTAGCAGATAAAGAGTTAAATGATGTGTATAACCCATCATAGGATTTGCAAAATGTTACAAAGTCCTTGTGAAAACAGTGGGTCTTAAAACAGAGTTTGCAGTTTAGAAGGTATACATACAAGATACAAAATAAGCTTCAAAGGCCTCTTTCGCTGTAGAAATTTTCCCACAGCTGCTACCATTGCCCAGAGTCCTCTCTGCAGCAGTACCACTTCCATACAGCCTCCTGGTCATTTCTGTTGTCCACAGCAATTTTGAAAATTTTTGACAAAAAAAAAAAATCGGGTAGGTGCAGCCACAAAGATTAAGAGTTTGAGTTTCTTGTCCCAGGTAGTGTGCTCCCCATTCTCCATGTTCATACATTCATCAGAGAGACTAAGGGTTGATAGACCGTAGAGCCTGGCTCTTCCTTCTGGCCCTTGAGATGGTTAATCTAAGAGTTTATTGGCAGAACACTGGGAAAAGCTGGCTCCATCTCCTGCTCTGTGGTGGAACATGAATCTTCAAGATTGAAAATCTGGCATTTTTTACCCACACTAAATCAATACTATAAAGGGAAAAAAAAAGGCTTGTTGATTTTTTTTTTTAGCACTAATTATCTTAATGTGGGCTTTACTAATGTATGCTATGCTTCCCATGACTGTTAGCAGAGCTCTCCATACACAGTCCAAAACATGTAGAGCACGAATAGTCATTTAGAAGGAAGTTTTGCAAGACATGGTATTGTAAAGCTGAAACATCTGTTTCTCCTGTTATAGCTAAATAGTGCAACAAGCTTTTGTTAAGAAATTAAACTTTCCCTTCATTTTACCAGTTTCTGCTAGCTATTTTCTATATGCAAATTTTTAATAAAAATAAATGAATTATTGCAAAAACATCTCCAAATTTTTTGTATGGAAGAAAGAAATATCTGATTAAGACCACCAGCCATATCAATTTGTATTTGAAGCAGATGACGTATGTATGAGACATTTGACACGTAAAAAAGTACTAATATGTAGATAATATAAGGAAGGTATACATGATAATCTATTTTCATTACTTTAAACAGTTGCTTTTAAATCTACTTGACTACATGAAGTTAAATATATTCACTTACTTTATTTTTGCAGGAAGCTTTTTCCACTTTAGGTGAAACTAATACATGACGCTGCATTAAAATAGCTGTGAAGTATAATTACATATTTCCATGTATATGACACTTCTTCAGCTGGTAGCAGAAGGTTTCATAAACCATTCACAAATTTGATAAGCATTCCATAGAAAACAATCATATCATATACACACATTTTGCAGTTGCGTGTGTGTGTGTGTGTGTGTGATGCAGTTTGCCTGCTGCTGAAGCAGCAGCACAGCTGAGGTGGAACACAGCAGCTGCTTGTGAACACAGCTGTGAGACATGACCAAACACCGTCAGGTCACAGTTGTACTTGAGGTGAAGTGGATGATCTGTGTGATGAACCACATGCTCAGTCTGGATCGTGGCGTCTGCTGCTGCAGTAGCCCTGAACACGCCGTCCCGGCAGAGACAGACCCAGACTGGTGACAGAAAAGGCCACAACACCGTCCATACCAGAGCATGAAGCTCTGCTCTGTTTGCCCCTTCACCCTCGCTCTCCCCTTCTGCTTCTGACAATCATGCAAAGCGTAATTTACAGCACTATTTACATCTATTTACATTTACTAATTATATTCCATTGAAACTGCCAAGGAAAATTTGTCAGAAGAATGTAATTACTCAAAGCTGGAATTTGGCCAGCAGTGAGATTAGTTCCCTTCCATTTTGCAAAAAAGCACTATGGGATCTTGCAGAGCTGAGTGCTTCAAGTGGCAGCTGGGGACCAAGTCAAGCTGCTGAGGTACTGCCGGAGGCCTGCCTCGGGCTCGGTATGTGCAGGTGGGCTTTGCGGAGGCAGTCGGGCTGCCTGGAACTCCAGGTTACACGGGGTCGGGCCTTCAGAGGGTTGTCCATGCCGGGCCTCCTCCGGTGGTCGGTGGCTACAGCAGGCTGGGACCTGTCTGCTGGCACTGGGGCTGCGCCCTGGGGCTCAGGGGTGCTCCTTGCAGTTGAAGCTGGGGGGTGTCCTGTCTAGGATCCATGGCTTGATTCGGAGTGTTGGCACAGGCAGAATCTCTCCTGTGTGGGGGCATTCGTAGAAAAGGGGATGCTGCCTGACTGAGCAAGCCAGAGCTGCCCCGCTGCCACTGCTCCATTTCCAGTTTGCAGAACAGAGGTCACTTCGGGGAGGGAAGTACTCTAGGGTTTGTTTTTGTAACCTCTGGTTTGCTCCAGACCCCAGTGTGGATCAAGATACTGAATAACATACTTGCATCAGTTAGAGGGAACTTCTAATTTCCATCTCATCTGGTCTTTTAAATACATAGTACCGTTGCTCTGCTTAATATCATCAGCTTCTACCTGATGTCATTTACACATACACATGCCAATGTGGTGTGCACAGAAGTCCTGCGTTAGCATACTCATGATCAGGAGATCAGGCATTTGTATATCTGGCTTAGGCATGGATGTATTTTCTGTAAAGGC